TATCAGGTGAGTTTTGTGACAATGTTCGAAGCTGCTCCGTGCCTGCACATACCCCATGCCATGCACAGTAGGGCAAGATTGAGTGGATGATGAAGCCATGGACTAAAAACTGCCAGACTGTCTTTGCTGGTGAAACTAAGCCCTCTTTGGCAAGCATGCACGAGTCTGGGTCAATCAGCAGCAAAGCCTTCAAGGTTCTAGCGGCAGCCAAATGCTGGCAGCCAGTAGTTCTCCCCAACAGCTCACGGCTTTGCTGCAGGCTGCCCTCACATTCCCGAAACCTCAAAAGCCGGCACATCTCCCCAACCAAACCTTGCCCTTGCTGCCATCTCGCATGAAATTGCAAAGAATCGACGCGCCTCTCTTAGCCAAGCATATAAGTCCCCGCTTTTTTAGACTCCTAGTATCCCCCTAATAACCCTTCTAATACTCCCCTATAAAATCCCCAATATACCCCCTGCACCTCTTGAGGGAATTTACACCATAGCTATGAAAGCTGCCAAGTCTAATTCACCGTCCAAATGCAGCATAAGGCTCCCATCCACTCCAGAGGCCTGCTCCGGCAGAGTTTCGCCAGAGCACCATCGTTGCCGCACTTCGTTAGGGCCCTGCGGAGGTCCCAAAATTGGGGATACCTTTTGGGGACTCCCATAATAAGGATTATAATATGGTGTGTCCATACTGCCTATTTAGGGAAACTACCAGACAGTCTGTGGGAACATGCTCCAAGTCTCAAACGAAGTCTCCTGGCCTCAGAACTTTTTCTTCTGAAGAAGACTTAAGCATGGTATGCACATCATGTTCGGATCCAAACTGTTGCTTTGCAGATGACCATCTGTAGCTTCAGCGATGTCACAGGCACATTCCGCGCCTGTTGGGAGGTACCCTGCATCATCATGCTTTAAACGCTGCCATGCTCGACCAGAATTCCACGCTCTCGCAGCTAAATCTTTTTTGGGGAACTGCTGGCAGTCCAATGCTCAAGCGCTCATCGGCTCGTAGCTATGAGGATCCATGAAGTACCCATCACAATGGCGCGAAAAATCTTGCAACTACAGGGTGTAAGGCATTGCTTGTCGTCTTTTTCGGAAATGGGCCTAGCTGCTGCGATTGCACTTCAACACTTTCGTTTCGGCATGCTGTCGCAGCAATCATTTTCTTCATCATCTATCGAGGTGACATATATGTATATATATATATGTGCAGGAATACTTGAAGAAACGGAAAAAGGTTTTGTTCACAGCAAGGCTGCAGGATGAGGTCGACAAAGAGCAGAGGCACAAAGGCCTGACTGCATAGGGCATTGGCTTGGGGTCTTGGGTTCCTTTCTGCAAGCAAGGGTTGGGGGGTTTGCAAGCCTATTGCGGTTTAGATATTCTAAAACAAGAGAGGTCAAGTTCTACAAGTTTAAATAACAAGTTCGGGGGCCACGCGGCCTAATACAGCTCAGAGGACCGCTGTGACAACCCAGATTGGGCTCAATCCCCAGGGAGCAATAGCTAATCAAATCTGCGCGTCCACAAGTGGCACACGCTCAATGTCTCTATGGCACCCAAGCTGCAGGGGGACGTCTCGTAAGAACGGCGACAAACCAGGGAGATCTGGAGACTCCTACAGTCTGGCCGTGGGCACGTGGGGTTACGTAGAGAATGTTGTCCTGATACTTAAGAAGGGTTCCCAGATAAAGGCTTAAGCCTGCCGCATTGACCTCGCCCCCGAGCTAGTAAACCTGCACGCCCAGTCCCCGAATCCCAAGCTGCCCTTAGAGAGATTTGTTTTCAAGTCTGATGACAGCTCGCCTACAACTGCAGCCCCGCTCCCCTGACCGTCCTTCGTAAGCTGCCTTACCATCCCCTATACTACGGGCCACTAGCCATCATAGTAAGGGATTGCATGGGGTGCAAATTTAAACCCTAAGCCCTCAACCGCGTGGTCCCCAAACCCACAGGCCCTGCCTCCCACCCGGAGCGGATCAGACCCTCCCTGAGCTCCATCAGCGTCAAATCTTTCAAAGGCACCTTTTTGGATGATTTTTTGGGAGTAAGGCACAAGTAGTGTTCAAGGTCTTGGTTGAGCTAGGGTGTAGTAATTAGGGGTTAGAGGGTTCATAGTTCAGGACGTAGAGACGACTTTCGGTTCTTTGGTCGGGTCTGCGCCGTGGTGTATCCATCTTCCTGCTGCAATTGCTGTTGCTGTTTGGGCCATCGCTCTTGCCTAGGCTCTGCGTCAGGCATCTATGCTTCGAGATCCTGATGACACGAATACCCTCCGCCCCTCTTAAACGGACCTTGGTCTTTTTCGCTATGCCCATGCAAGAAGTCTGTAGAGATAGATGTAACGGCTTCTGCAATGAATCTGGGCATGTAGCCGCCCTGACATTAGGATATGCAAGCTGTACGCACAAACAGCATGGGTATGGGTTTAAGGAGTAACTATCGCGGGATGGCTGTTTGTAAGAGCATCTGAAGGCTTGTACTTGTCTCTTTCACATGCACACATGAAGTCTCATGTCTCATTAACTGGGAATATACCCATGGCTGCGCTGGTATTCATCATCCTGAAGGCTATTTTTCTCGGGCATGTTGAGTGCCTCTGGGCAAAGCTTGTGCATAAGGTCCTGCGTCATGCATTTCAGCTTCAAAAGAACGTTCAAAAAGATTGCCGGTCGGGATACCTTGCACCAAACTTGTGCCCCCTTGTTGTGGTCTTTTGAGGTCCACTTTGAAGTTCCATGTCAGCCTGTGGGAAAGTGTATCTGAGGATCATTGAATTGCAAATGTTCGAGTACAGGAATGCTTATTGGGATTGTGGCTAAACAATGTGGGTTTTCTTGGAATCGAACCTGAGTTTAAGCTTGCCAGCATCAAATGAACTGAGCTTAAAACAAGCCAGAATAAGGGGGTTTCCCAAGGGGCGCCCGTTTGGGGGTCTCTATAATAAGGACTATACTATTTTGGTGGTCTTTTTGGGGGGAAACTACCATACGGGGCGCAAGTCAGGCTCACCTCCAATGAAAGGATGTGGACCCTTTATCGGACGGATTTAAAGCAAAAGGTCCAAATCAAAAGGTCCAAGATGGCTATTAGTTTGTGTTTGCAAACAAAGTTCCGCACAACACCTTAAAATGATGACTTTGTGCAAAGCAATATTTCTATATACTAAACTTTACTAAAGCCCAGGTCCTAAAAAATTCTAACACAGGACTGAACAAGTAGGACCAGTCCCCACAAAGCAGATAATCGCAGAGCCAGGCGCCGAATTCAGCGTGATGCCCAGGGCCAAAACAGCCAGGTAGCTTAGGCCCAGGGCACTCGCTCGCATCCCCCACCTCTCAGGCAAGTTTCCCAAAATTGTTGGGGTCTCTAAAAATCAGAGTACCCTTTAGACCTCAGGCCTCTAGGAAATCATCGGGGGGATTATAGTACCACTTAAGTAGTTAAAATATGGGGTATATGGGGATCGTATTATAATCTACCC